TTGAGATTTAAGCAATTAAACCATTCAATCAGGCTTACACTTAAAAAAAAGTGATTTCATAATGAAAATCTGATTATTTTTTTCAAAAGTAACCAACTAGTACTTTTTAAAAGAGTACTTTGTACTTTTACCTAATATTAGTATTATTTAGCCTACTAAAATTTGTGTTATTTTAGCAGTGTAATAGTATTTTTCCTTGAGTACAAAAAAGATTTCACAAGCATTAAGTGCAGGTTTATTATATTATTAATATATGATTAATAAATATTATTATTATTATTATTATTATTAATGGTTTTTATGTGTATCTATTCCTATGCAATGTTTTATAGGTTGCTGAGAATACATTTCAGGTCTTCAATACATAGCATGTCAGTCTTGGAAAAAAAAAAATAGGTGCTGGAATTGATTTTCATTAGGCTGTGCCTGTATGAACCCTGTCATATGTACATTTAACATTTCAAGATTTGTCTAAAGGTGTATGAATATGACATATAGCCTATATTTATGAGGTCCAAGCAACATTTCTAGCTTTTGATGAATAGGCTATTATGAATACTTTAGATTTAAGTGCAGCAGTTTTCTTTTTACTTTTTAAGAACAGTGCCATTTTTTATGAACCTTTAAAAGCATATTTCAATTTAAACATTTTTTTTTTTTTTTTTACCTGCAAGCACAGTTAATGTTCGGACTATTTAAAATGTTTAAAGTGACTGACAATGATACATATTCTTAATAATAGGAATTAATCTGCATCGTTTTTAAACTGTGCACACCTGTAGCTGCTTAATTAGGCCCACAACGCTATTTTTAATACTGGTTAAAAAATAGCGTCGTAAGGTGGTACTTGGAGAGACAATTTTTTTCTAAGGTGGTACTTGGTGAAAAAAGTTTGAGAACCACTGATCTATATGATTAAGCTCTGGTGACTGTGGAGGCCATTTGAGTACAGCGAACTCATTTTCATTTTCAAGACACCAGTCTGAGATGATCCATGCTTTATGACATGGTGCGTTATTCTGCTGGAAGTAGCATCAGAAGAGAAATCTCTGCAGATCTTATGCAGGTAGTTATGCATTCAGAAGTTGTCCAAACCTGTCTTGACATTATTTCACATTGTTGTTGCAGATGAAATATAACACTTAAAACATGGTTTAAACATGTTCCATTTGGCTAGATATTAATTAACAGTCATTTAAACAACTTTACCGAATCCTCTCTTGACGTTCGGTCTCCATGTTTGTAGTTTGTTTAAACTGTTTACCCAAATTTGTAGTTCTAAACAAATTCACATCCAACGTGCAATGTATTGTGGACAATATGAGTGGTTAGAGTATGGACGCTTCTACACTTTGAGTTTTTACCGGAAATGGTAAACCATCCGGGAACCTTTGTCTACATGTCTAAATGGATTGAGTTGCTGCAATGTGATTGGCTGATCAGATATAGTTAACGAGCAGTTGAACAGGTATAACCATTAAAGTGGCCAGTAAGTTCATATCTGTGATAGTAAATACTTTGGAGCTTTATTAACGATAAATAGGCTGCCTGCTTAAGATGCCATCTAAATAAAATAGTTTTTTTATATAATAATAAAAATAATAATATTCACATGACATGATTCTTAAGAATTAATAAAAAAAATATAAAACACACTATTTTATTATTTGTTACATTTTTGGTAGAAACAATTATATTGCTGCAGGATTAAAGGAACCACATTTTATAAAAATACATAGAATTATATTAAAAAAATAGCGGTCATTTGTGATCAATTCAATGCATCTTTGCTAAATAATAAAAATATTATTTATAAGAAACAAACGAACAAAAGAACTCTTGACTAGTGTTTTGAAAGCTAGTGTATGATTTGAGTGCGATCGTGAAGCTTGTGTACAAGCAGTTTGTTTTCTTCCTGGTTATTTTTTTGGATATGTCTTCAGTGGTCACTGGTGCATTATTCAGTTTTTTCCCTTTTTAAGTGTGTGCACGCAAGTGACAACGATGACGTTTGTTTGCTTTAAGGCTTTGTGCTTTGGAGGGCTCGTGGTGTGGTTTTATGAGTGGTGTGCGTTTGATACAAACAGGCCTACCAGATGTTTTTGGAATTTCGTGACACCACAGAGAGGATGTGACCAGCACAGGGCACTTGCCAGATTTCCATGGCAACGTCTGTTTCCCATCCTGACGGAGAACACAAGGAGTATGAATGAATCTGCAGGCGTCATGAAAGAAAATTATTTGGCTCCCATTTTGGGTCTGCATTTCTTACCACTTACATTTGATTGTTCTGTTTCCTGTCTGCATCACTTCTGTGTTGATGACAGCTTCACTTTGTTGTTGACATTTTAGTGGCTTGTTAATGTAGTGATGGAAAAATACATGCAAGGAAAGAGCAGTTGCAGGTGTTTTGGCTAGGGATTTTTTAAATGTTGGAATGAGTTACAATTTGATTCTTGATTGAGCTTTTTTTCGTATTGATTTATTCTGCTATTCCAATACAAAAAGTTGTTGGGTGTTTGCATGTTTATTTGTGTGTCAGCTGAAGAACACAGCTTTTATGGAACATTGTGACCCTTTGTGTTCAGCTTGTAGTTTGAACAAAAATGTGTGGAAATAATTATAAGCTAAGACCTGACCACATTCACACTTGTATGGTTCTTGTATGGTTTCACATTATTTTCTGTCTTGGATGTATAAGCAGCTCTGCAGTGTCTTTGCTGCTGTCTGAATTAATATTGATTGGATCAATTGTTAATGCATTAATTGTTAATGCATTAATTTCACAATCACCAGCAATCTAATCTACACAGATCATTGGAGACCTACAAATCAGCCACCAAAAGAACTACAAATCCCGTTTTACCTGATTACACACAAACCTGTTCTGGATCACTGCTGATGACACACACAGACACACAGCTGAAGCTCATCAGTGAATCATTAACTGGATAGTAAAGACACCTCTTTTGGCAACACATATTGTTGAGTCTTGTTTTACCCCGTGTAACCTTACAAAGCATTTTTTTTTGTCTTGCCGTGATAAAATCCTTGTTTTAACCGTTTTGATTGTGGTGGGCAAAGCAAGGCTTTATAAAACACTAAAACAGCAAATGTGTCGAAGCTTCGAAACGTTTCGAAACCCTATTCTACACTGATCCTAGTGGTCATTTTTTAATGTTTTACAGTGGAACAACTTCAGTAAAGAAACAGTTTAGCAAATTGAGGTATTAAACCTCACATTGAGTTGAAGCTTCAAAGAGAGTTCCTGACAAGTATGCTGAGACAATGGGTTCGAATCCAAGGTGATGCAGCTATAGAAGTTTTTAAATGCTCTGTCCTTGTAACGTGATTTGTTTTAACATTGGTCTGACATACGAATAAACACTGTGACCTGGGTGTTTCGGAACATGCTTCGGTGCAGTGTTTTGAGACACTTTGGTCTTCACGATCTTTACACTGTCGAAACATCAGTTTCTTGTCAGCAGTCCTTACGTTTTGATTTTTTGCCGTCTTGCCTGACTTTTTACCTGTATTCTGACCACATATTTTGGATGACCTTTATGCTTCTGTTTGCTCCTGTTTTGACCATTGCCTGTCTGACTACACTTATTATTAAAGAACTGCACGTGTATCCTCACCTTCATTTTCATCGTCTTTACGTTACAATCAACATGACTTGATTATTTTTCTCTTCTCAAGTTTGGGTTTTACAATTGAACAAATGTGTAGAATAATTTGATTATCAGAACTTGATAAGCATGGCTATTGTTTACATTGTAATGATAACAATACTGTTTATTGATACTGGTTATTATCGGTACTGTTATTGATACTGTTATCTATAATTTGATGTAAAAAGACAAAAAAAAATTCAGTTATATTATTAATGTTTAAATTTACAGCAGTTTACCAATACCTGCAATAGGGCTGTGCAACATGACAATATGGCTAGTAAATTTATTCTGATTTTGGCGAATAATCAAGGAACTTTGGTGCCATACCATGGCTACGACAGGCGCAATGATGTTACACATTACCTGAAAATAGTACCCAGCTAACTTCCAATGTGACCATCTGCTGCAAATGGAGCATGTGCCGGTTGTGTTGCATAATTTCATTGCGAATGAGTTTTAAATACGAAAAAAAGCTTTAAATACGAAAATGAGCAAACTCTTTGCTCTTTCTTGAGCGAAATGCTAATAGTCTAATCTGCTTCACTGATTCATGCTAAGTTAAAAATGCTCCCGCCAGACCCGGAGATTGGCTGAATGGATTCAAAAATGGTAAAACTCAACTGTTTATCTTGGGAGTTTTTAAAAAAAGCCTTTTTTTAAAGTGGATTGTTCCTTGAACATTGAAGTATATGGAGATAAAGCAGTGCGGGAGTTATTAGCAGTACCATTTTCCCTGAAGCTTATCAGTAGTCCATTATTGACTGAATTATGGTAAAAAAAAAACTGTTCTCAGTAGTTATCCCTAATAAGCTAGTGTACTTTTTTGCCTCAAGCTTAATGAAGATTAATTTAAAATTGTTAATGTTATTATTTTCCTGAGCTCCAACAAGAGATTTAAAAATGAAGCGAATGTGTTGAACGTTTCATAAACCAAATAAGACTAGCAGCATTCACAGTTGGCCGGATCAATTCAGAATAGTTAGAGAATCACAGTTAATAGATTTATTTTCCTCAGCCCAAGTGTGACAGGAAATCTTCATTTTGCAATGGATTATTTTAGTATTGAATGTGGTGCAGTGCTTCAGCATGAATGGTGACACTGCAGACATTTTATAAATCAATTTTATTTCTTTGAAATTGATTATGTGGACTTATTGGGTGTTACAACCCACACAACCTTCCATCTGTGTCTTCTTCTGTTTGCCTAAATTATATATTCTGAAGTTCGAAAGTCACTTTTGTGGCATTTCTTAAAACAGTTGCATATTATTGTTTGTCCTTGAAAGTAGGAAATAAACTCTTAATCTGCGTGTGTTTAAACAGGAGCTGCCGGCGCCGCCTCCCCTGCTGTTCAGGAAGCTGAGTAACCCAGACCTGTCTCCTGCCGCAGGAAAAACCAAACTGCAGAGGCAGCTCAGTCAGGATGACAGCAGAGGCCGACGCAGCAGCATGGCTGGCATCCTCACTGGTGAGACACTCTGGAGGTTGATTTTAAAGTCACCATGATATCAAAATTTATAGTTTTTATTTTTAGGGAAAATTGCAGTACTTGTATTAAATTATGTGTATTTATATCACCGGTTAAAGGTTTGGGGTCATTAAGATTTTTCAATGTTTTAAAATAAGCTTTTCCTGCTCACCAAAGCTGTGTTTATTTATTCAAAAATATAGTATAAATTGTAATATTGTGAAATGTAATTGCACTATAAATAACTATTTATTTCATCATTTATTCCAGTGATTTTAATAATGAATTTTCAGCTTAATTACTCCAGTCTTCAGTCACATGATTCTTCCAAGATCACTTAATAATAATAATAATAATAATAATAATAATAATAATTATTATTATTATTATTATTATTAATGTTAGTAGTAATAAAAGCAGTAATGACTGGAGTAATAACTTCATTTGAAACTGCATACAATAAGTAGTAAATAAATATTTAATAAATAAGTATTTAACAATTTAACACTTTTTTTTTTACATTTAGTAAATGTTGCCTTGATGAACAGAATAATTTTGTGTGTGTGTGTGTGTGTGTGTGTGTGTGTGTGTGTGTCTGTGTGTGTGTGTGTGTGTGTGTGTGTGTGTGTGTGTGTCTGTGTGTGTGTGTGTGTGTCTGTGTGTGTGTGTGTGTGTATAGAGACAAGGAGAGAGAGAGAAAGAAAGATATCATGTCACTGGAAAAGATCCAGGGAAAGTAAACAAACAAACCTGAAAATGTAATGTGGTTTAGTATGAGTATCGCATTGCAAAGAGTTTGTGTGATCGTATAAATATATATTAAATATAAATATAAGATACAGAACACTGTCATTGTTTTATGTGAGCAGCTCATGATAATCAGTGTCTTGGACCGTTTCAAACTCAAAATCTGCAATTTCTGTGACTTAAATTTTAATAGAATGTGAATTTAAATTTTTTAGAATTAAAAAATGCAGCAAGCATCAAACATCTTTGCAAGCTTCCTTGCATTTCACCCTAAAAACGGAAGCTGTGTTGTTTAACGTTGAAAAAAGCATAAACTAATTTTGTAATTTATTATTCATATTTAAATAATATAATATTATATAAAACAAATATCACTTTAATACTAATACTACTATTAGATACTATTATACTACTATTGCTAATAATAATATGAATAATAATATTACAATTAGAGGTGTTATCACAATTTACAATTTTTTGGCGTTTAAATATTTTATTATTAGCAATTTTAGCTGACATTTACTTGTAAATACACTTTTTTCTATATAATTTAAATTTTAATATTTTCAATTAAATAATTCACAGTTTTAATAGCAAGTAAAAACATATTTGTCAGTTTTTGCAAGCTTTTGGCTTTTAGCAGGTGCATCAATGTTTTATTTTTAGGTCCTGTATACATAATACTTTAAGATGATCAACGTCACAAATGTGCTTGCATGTATTGCTCTGGAAAATTGCTGAATTTTGCTCACACTGTATAAAACATGCAGATTTATACAGATGACATGTGGCTTGGCTTTAATTTGGTTTGTAAATGCAGAATGCAGACACACACACTCATAAATATATGTAAAGAAGTACATACAGACCATGTCGTGACTCTGGCTTGTTCTGTGTGCCGCAGGAAAGCAGCTTCTGCCTCTGTCCAGCAGTATGCATGGAGGAGTGAATCAGCTGGCCTGGCAGCAGCACACAGGGGAGCCCAATAACTTGGTCCGCATGAGGAGTCAGTCCTTTGGCCAGTCTGCCCCGTCTCTCACTGCGGGACTGGTGAGTGCAGTGTCTCTCTGTCCATTTATATTGATTTGTAAGAATGATAGCCTGATGGATCCAGATACGTTTATGTAGCATATTTTTCCCCAATAAGAGCTGTGTGTTACATGTGGCCAAACTTTTAAACATTAGTTCACCTCCCATTTATTTTTGGATCCTGTTTACACCTCTGAACAAGATGTCACACTGACATAACCTTAGGACTGAATGTTCCACAGTTCTGACTGATGATGCGTGACTGGAATACAGCAACAAACAAATGCAAATTCACTTCTTATGAATGATGGAAACTCGCATATTTCCATGTGTGTTGTATTCATCCTGTTTCCCATTGTATATCTAAGCAAATACAATATGATGTGGATGGTTTTATTGTTTAGAGGTGAGGACTTTAAAGAATATAATAAACGTGTGTTAATTTCAGCAGTATAACATTTTCTGATGAAGATGTTTACAGGGAGTTTGAGCTTTCTAAAGCCTAGAGCCATAGCTACATCTGCTGTCCAGGGCTTGTATTACACCATTTAGGGAAAATGCCAAAAGGCATGTCAAATTAAAGGTGCAGTCATTGGAAGATAGCCTGATAGCCCTGAAAGCCTACATTTCACCCTGCAAACTGCCATCCAAATCCATGCCTCACTAATACAATTCGTCATGTAACAGTCACTAAAAAACTTGATAGTACAGTAGTTAGTAATTAAAAACTTGACAAAAAAAAACATGGAAGGTTATTGATGTTTGCTTGCCACTCTCTGTCTGGAGGACATTCTGAAGTTTATCTTAATGTTTGGATGAACCGTTTTGTTTGGACAAACTTTTCTTGGTCCTATACCTTCCACAGAATATATATATATATATATATATATATATATATATATATATATATATATATATATATATATTACCCAAGTTAATGATTGCTGTTAGGATGTGAAGATTTTTTAGAATTTTAACAAGCATAGAAAATGTTTTATGATGCTAAAAGAAATGTTTTATGATGCTAAAAGATAATCACCTATTTCACCTTTAGGTGTTTCAAATGCTAATATAAATGTATAGTTTTATATAATGATTTAATGTAATATTAGACACCTATCCGCCACTTTATTAACTATGCTTGCTAGTACTGTTGGACATCGTTTGCCTTTAAAAAAATAAATCCTCCTAAATTGACAAACTAATAAACACTCAAGTTGTTTGTAACCTTTGTGACTTATTTTTTTCTAAAAAAAGTTGAAAATAAAATGAAAACCGATTGCCTTTAAAACCAAGTGTTACTTGGGTAAATAAAGTGGTTCAGTTGTCCATAGAAAGATAACAGCTGCATTCTATTCTTATTCTGAATTAAGACCCTACATTGGAAAAAAGCTTTCATTCATCCAATAAAAAAAATGTAGGGTAATGATCCACATCTAAATTTGATCACTTGACCCAATGAAAAATAAACAATTTACCTTAATATTTTCTATCTTCATGAGAAGAATTTTATATACCCTAGTACAAAGCATGTTTGTCAGTTAATTAATCTAAACAAGAATATATAGCTTTAATCAAAACAACAAATTTTTTTCAAGTATATTGAACTTCTGTTTAATAGGCATGCACTGGGCTGTGTGATTAACCTTAACATTTTACATTGGTGAAAACAAATATTTCTTAGTTGAGCTCTTCTAAGTCAAAACAATGTTAATTGTGTTATATATTAATTGTTATATAAAAAAGACAAATAATCCTTAACTGAAATGAATGATACATTTTTAATTGGATGAAGTACTACTTGATTTTTTTTCAGTATATATTCTAAATGTTCTTGCAAAAATTGAGACTCATGCTCACCAAAACTGAACAAAAGAAGATTAGAAAGAGTTTGTCTGGTTTGATGTGTGTTTGTGTTCTTAGCTGACAGTAGGTGAACCAGTTTGCTCTTTTTGACAAGATCAACAAAGCATGCTCTTCTGCATCTTTAGTTGTATGGGTCGTTCTTGATTTTTCTCTGTCTGACCATTCTTCGTAGACATCAACAAGATATTTTGGTCCCAACAGAACTTTTCTTTGTGAAAACCAGAGGGCATGCAAATCACAGTAGATCAGCAGTTTATGAAATTCTTATAGCAGCCCATCTGTCATCAAACAGGGGGCCAAATCTATAAATGTCTGACAGGCATTTTAGCTTGCCATGTTTTTTCAACAGATTTGCTCTATACAGCTCATATATTATCTGTAAAGAAATAATCTTTGAATATAATACCTTAAGAGTTCTGTAATTCTCTCATGGATGTTTCTGTCCATCAGGTGGCAGCATTGCATATATTCTGCAAACTCGGAGGCTCTGCCTGACCACTGGTGTAGAACTAAGCATTACAAATCTTGAATGGGTAAAGTGCTACTACACATGTGCGATTATCTCAGCCCTTATGTTTATGGATGAATAATGTACTCACCAATGCAGTGTAGCATGGTGTCCTAATAAAGTGCTAATTAATATGCCAGTGCTTCAGCAGGCCCTCTTTAAAAGGCCTTGTCTGTTGAAAGAGAAGCCATGGACACACTAATTGCTGCTTAGTAGGGTTTATATGCCAGCAAACAGCAGCAGGCTGATATTAACATGGTTCACAATTATTTAAAGTCACAAGGCTTCTTCTTTTAAACCTTGTTCCAGTAAGGATAATATTAAGTTTGATTTGTCTGCAAAAAGTGTATGCGCTAAAATGACTGCATCAACATATCTCCACTCTAAATTTGAATATCTGCTGGTTCGGATCGAATTCATCACCGTTTCGGATGACAAATAATCATTTGATGACAAATTCATAAGTGCACTGAGCAAGCTTCATCGTAAACATGAAATCCATCTTGATGCGGGAGTATATTGAGTTTTTAAAAGGAAATGATTTATTTTGATATCTGCTCCATTTATTTGATTAAAAAAGCAGCTTCTCAGGAAATTGCTAATGGAAATATAACTTACTGATTTTTAAAAAATATATATTTGTATCACTGCATGTGAATGATAAAACTTAGCAAAAAATGTTGGGCCCCACATTATATTAAGTGTCGCTTATACCTGTGAACTTACACGCTTACTAGACATGTAAGTAGTATTTTACTACAGTAAGTACACACATTGGTACGTAGGATTTACTTGTGCAACACTGGTGTAGCTACACACATGTAACAACCCACTAAATAGTATGTGTAAGTTCAAATGTGTAACAGGACATTAATAGCAATATCTTTGATAAACTACCCCTTTAATGTGAATCACTAATGTGATTCTACAATTTACCTTAAAACAACATAAAAACATAAGACATTTGCATAGGCTTAGGTTTTATAAATTACACAGTAATTTGTGACCATTTTAGACTTTGTATTGAGTGGACAGTCCCTGAGGATTTACCTTGTAATTACACTGGTACCACAAGGTAAAACCTCCTAATACAACATTAGATCTGCCATTCTTATTCTAATACAGTGTTTAGAAGTGTATTGTATGCTAACAGGTGTGGAAGTGGAAAAACACCTGCACATGTTGTTGTTACACGATGCACTTATGTAATTCTTGTTACAGATGTGTACTTTTAGTGTTGTTATCAATGTCCTGTTACACATTTGAACTTGCACTAACTATTCAGTGTGTTGTTACATGTGTGTAGTTACACCAGTATTACATAAGTAAATACTATGTACCAGTGTGCACATACAGTGTAGTTACATACCACTTACACATCTAGTTACCATGTAAGTTCACATGTATAAGTAGGCCCTCCCGGAATCTGCACGCGCAGAATTCTGTAGATTTTCCGCAGATTTTTAGCCCATCATTAATTCTGTTTATTTACTTGAGTAAATGTGTGTATATCTATATTTATTCAGTTTTTTAATTCATTTCAGGGATATTATTGACTAATGTGAATATGTTCATCCGATTTATGTACAATGCAGTTTGTAAAGTGTTATTTTCTGTCTTTTACTAGACATATTATATGAAAAACTTGCTTTATTTACCAAAAAAATTAGTCTAATTGGATATGCATTTTAAACATTAAATAAAAGTTAAAAAGATATTTTGTTTATTTCTTATGATGAGGTTTTAATTAAGATACTCCAAAAATAATTCCGCAGAAATCGGCAGACTTTTACTAAAATTTTCCGCAGAACTAGCAAAAAACGTCTGCAAATTCCATCTGGTCCTAGGTATAAGCGACACTTAATATAAAGTGGGACCAAATGTTGTATTTGTCTGTGTTAGTTAATGCATTTACTAACACAAACAAATAATGAACAATCCATTTTTACTCTATTCTTCTTTGTTAACATTAGCTTAATTAAACGCATTCATAATTCTTGGTAACTCTGTGCATTACCTAATGTAACAAGTACAGCAGATTTTATTAATGCATTAGATTAGAAAATGTTGACCTGTGACTAACTAAGAATGATCAATATATGCACATCATTTAGTAGTGTTTGCAAATACATGAACTTTGTAAAGCTGTCACTTCTTATTTTAATACACAAGAGTGTGGTGAAGGAAATGAACTATGGTTGGTTTGTCCTTTAGTCATGTAGTTCCTAATCCTCCGATCCGGGCTGTGAGGTGCCAGGGGAGCTGCTTCTGTGGTGCTTTTATTATGTGAGTTGTGGGAGAGACAGAAGAGAGGATGGAGTGATTTTAAGGGAACCATGCAGGACAGGCAGATGGTGTTTACCTTCCAATAGAGGCATGGAGCTCTGTGTGTGTGTGTGTGTGTGTGTTTTGTACAAGCCCAGTTTTTTCTTCTTTTTGTGTGTGTGTGTGTGTGTGTGTGTGTGTGTGTGTGTGTGTGTGTGTGTGTGTGTGTGTGTGTGTGTGTGTGTGTGTGTGTGATATTTGTGATGTGAACCGTAACTGATTATGTAAAGTAATTCATCTGATCAGTTTTCATAAAAATTATTCTGCCATTGAGATACCCACAAGGAGCTGACAAGGTGCTGGAATTAAATTTGCTCATTGG